CAAATGAACCCTGACAAGGCACACCTGTGAAGTGAGAACCATTTCAGGTGACTACACCATGAAGCTTATTGAGAGAAGTCCAAAGGTTTGTAGTGCTGTCAACAAAGCAGTGGATGGATGGTTAAGAAAATGTTTGTATATACTGTTTGTATGTGTGTATGTATAGATAAGTGGACAATAATAGGGCAAAGCCACAGTTAACTTACCAGTTGGGTTGGAGCACAGGTGCCTGGAAAATACACACACACACACACACACACACACACACAATAAATAAATAAATAAAAATTAAAGGAGCCCTTTATGAGCAAACACTTGGAAACAGTGGGAAGGAAAAACTCCCTTTTAGAAGGAAGAAACCTCCAGAAGAACCAGGGTCGGGGAGAGTCAGCCATCTGCTGCGACCAGTTGGGGCCACGGCAGATGTATAACTATTTTTATAATTTGAATCAACATATAACATGCGAAATATTGCTTTCTCATCACACAGAGCCCCATCAATAATTATTAACGCCAACCTCAAGTAGTTCTAGAAGTTCTAGTAGTTTTATGTTTTTCATTGCACTTTTTTTGACCATTTGAATAACTAAAATGGTAAAACTATGTTAAGGAGTTTATCAAATTGCAGAGAAGGCAAAGGGCATGCCGTATGCCAACTGCAGACGCTTTAACAGTTACAGTTGCCTCCGCCAATATTTTCTCCAATATTTTTTTTAAAGAATTTCTTCTTTTTTTTTTTCCTTTTTCTTCCAAACTGTACTGATACTTTGCTTCAGTAAATGGATTCGGGATTGTTTTGATTTTGCCTCCTCACTGAAGAAACAGGAAACGTCACACAGCAAGAGCCTTCGCAGAACTTGAGGAAACCTCCCCATCTGAGTATAAGTCCAATCTAGGTTTGCATGGAGCTAATGAGACATGAAATTGGCTTCACAGTGCAGGAACTTTAACATCCACCAATCAACCAAAGGGGGAACCCCCCTCTGGCCAGTTGCAATATTTGGGCTTATTAGGTACAGTATCATGCAGGGTTACTGTTTTACGTTCATGATCTCGCTCACTGAAGAACTCTCCCGGAGCTTGGTAAAACGTCCAGCATGGCAATTTGAGGGTGATTTTGTGTTGATGTAGAGTGCCTTTTAAAATTGACAATTTAGTCGAGGAAATTCAGCGTTTACACAATGAAAACATCCAGTAATGAGAATAATAAAAGTGTCCACTGATGCACCAGATGAGATATCTCAGACCTTTGAAGAAAGAAACAATGCAAAAAATTGTTAGTTTAGTTAAATAAATACATTTCAATGACAGCAGGGATGACTGATTCATATGCAATGTTTTATTAAATGTCAATAGCTGTATAAGAACTGCATTAGTAAAACAACAAGCTGTTTCGGTCAACCCCTGCTAGCTGCAGGTTCGTATTTATTTAGAGAGTCGTGTCAGCTTCGAATTAAGTATTCTTTCAAAGGAGAAGTTCTACTCCAAGAATAATGTATGAGTCATCCGGGAAATGTTTATCATGTGGATATATCTACCATTAACAGTAATAAAAAAAGATTGTTAAAAAGCTCTAAAAAATTCAAATTATTTTTTTTATACTCAAAAGACAATATAGAGCTTTTCATTTAGAACCTTCATTTGACAGATTGTTTATGTCTCTGAGTCATGACAGACTAGCAGCGTAAAAAGTGGAACCGCTTCATGAACTCAGGAAAATGAGAATCTTTAAGGTCAAGTGTTATTAATACTGGCCTGGTACAGGTCTATAATTCCTTTCTTTGTTTGTGACTTAAACCCCCCTTCTTTTTTCCCTCAATGTCTTGATAGAACTGGAGAAATACGCATTGAATGAAGCGCATATTAGGAGCAAGAGGCCTCTGACAATGTGAATCAATGTAAAAGCCAAAGTTCCTTATTGATCTCCTTATTAAACTTGTCTTACTTCCAAGACACGCAGGGTAAAAGAAAGGGCTGTGTAGCAGGAAGAGATGCAACTCAGTGCCACGTTCGCTTTGCATTTTCTGTAATTGTCATCTGTTTTCTCATTCTTTCTTTTATTTTTGTTTATTTGCTTTATTTTGTTCTCTCTCTTTTTTTTTATTTTGGTTGTTTGGTGTGGGCGCAAGCTACCGCTGAGAGTAAAATTGCATTTAGACATCCCTTGCTGAAATTTCAGAGCAGGGTTTTTATTCCCCAAAATGAAATGACAAAAGACAGACGCCTGTTTGATTTTACATGGGTAGCCCCCCCGTGGTTCGTATTTTTTCGGTGAATGTGTCCCTGTTGGTTTGTCAATAAGTGGTTTTTGGTTAGGCTTTAGTGTTTTAGAGGCTAGGATGAGGGGATTTGACACTGCTGATAGATATTTCTTCGAAATTTCTGTCCTCCTGGCATATGAACACATCAAAGGATACTAATTCGATTGACAGAGTGCACATAATGGCAAGAAGCCACCTGTAATGGCACAGAAGGGGGAATAATATAGCTTTTTTTCTAATAGCTACTCCCTAGTTATGGGTCATTTTGCATGTTTGAATTTGTGCAAGTCAAATTAGAATAGAAATGTGGGTCATTACGACAAAAGATATTAGAAAATGCTACTATTTAGGTCTCATTATGTTGCAGCATTACTTTATTCTGACCCACTACCTGTATTAACCGCACTTGGATAAAGCCAGATCAGCCAAATGCAGATGAAAGCTCTCATATATCATATTGCTTGAAGCACAAGCTGGTTGGATTTTCATCATACTGATGCATATTAGCATAAAGATAAAGCTGTGATGTCCTTCTGCTGCATTACTCAAAACAAAACTCGTGGAAGATTAGATGAACAAGCGTGCCTGAAACAGGGCTGTGAGTAAGGCAAATAGCCCGTGCCTATTTCCTTTTCTGTCCGTCTCAAAATGAGTCAGACTTGCACCATATTGAAGATGTGCGAGCTCTGAAGTTATTGCAGTCCAAAAAAAGTTGATTCTGTTCATCTGGACGTAGGGTTTTCAGCGGGAGAAATGTTTCCTCGCTCATCCAAGTGACTTCTTCAGTCTCAGCTGAATACAAGTTTCCCCAACTTGCATAGCACGGAGTCTGGGACCAGTTGCAAGTAGTTATGACAACCAACTTTAAGGTTGAGTGTGCAGCACCTTCAAGCTCTGGAGACTCATTTTTAAGCTGCAGATTTGCACTGGTCTTGGTAGAATGGTGGTTATTAATGAAATGAACTAGCTGTATCTTTGTTTATAAATTTATAAAAAAAAAATTATGAAGTTTGTCCCCTTCAGTCTTGCATAAGCGAGTATAACACCTTTGTGCAGTGGAAAACTGACTCAATCTTATTGTTGGTTTATCCCTGTCTTAGTGCACCAGTGTCGATGTAAAGATGGCAGACTAAGTGGTCTCAGACTTTGTCCCTATCTTTAAAGCAAATGTTTCAGACACAGGGTATTGTTGTATAGTTGTATTCCATCATTAGTTGCAAGTGGTTGCTGACATATGTGAATATGATTGCCACATCTCCATTTACGCCGGCCTAAAGACTAGTCACTGAGAAGCTGGCATCCACCAGGTTGCTATAGAAGAGTATGTATTCCATGAGCGGTTGGCAAATGGTTTCTGGAGTTTACTGAGTCATGAGCAATGATTTTGTTCACCAACAAGTTGCAAGGAAGATGACAACTTGGTTGCAAACACTAGCAAACTATTTGCCAAGTGGAAGCAAGAATGTGAAAGTGAAACTAGAGAGCTTTTGCTTTCAAAGTAAAAGTTGCACCTTCTGAAATATGTTGGATGCAAAGTGCAAATGACAGTGGCAATCTACTTGGGGCCAAAGAAATTGCACTGAAGTTTTTGGTGCAGCAAACTCTTTGCAACCAGTTTTGTCCAAGGCGCATCAGCCAGCAACCTCCTGCGGTTACTTGCAGCCGTTTGGGTAATACATATTATTTACTTGGGACTATTTGTCAGATGGTCACTGATCGGGCTGCAGACCTGTGTAACTCTGGTGTTATAGGGTTCATCTTAGGCCTAGCCAAAGCCACATTTCCTGCTGTATGTGCAATATGAGGTTGAGGCTTACATGTGGTGTTTTTTGGGGGGGAATGTCAGTCAGAAAAAGTATGCCATTAGGGAGGGGAAACCTAAAGAAATTGACTTGTTAGAAACAGCGTAAGATAATAAGGATTTTTAATAATAACGTAAAAGAAAATTTGGGTTCTAAATAAGGATAACAGGATGATTATGGTGAATAAAATTAATTTCAATCAGTGGCATTCTTTTAAAGTATTCTTTCAGGACCAAAGCCAATCGATCGATCTACATTGCTATTCCTGAACATACATAGTATGGCTTAGTTGGGAATCACTGAACTATCACAGATTGCTGAAACCAACAAATACTTTAGTGTCTATGTACCATATGTGTGCACTGATTTCTTTAAAAACGTAAGTGGATGCCATTTGTCCTTGGTGAACAGATGGAGAAAGTCCTGTAAAAAGCCTGCTAAGTCATGTTGCTTATAATTATTCATGCCTCATCTCCATCCTCATCAAACATCTAGAGCACTGAAAACAAACACAAGCTGACAAATTGATCAGCTCTCCAACCATCCAGACCAAACACAGGCAAAATAGGAATAATTTGGCTTTCTCTAACCCCTTGTGAAGCCCCGTGGAGGCTGTTATATTTAATATTCCTGCTGCCTTTTCTCTTCAATTAAATTTAGCTTTATTAATCCCAAAGGAGGCAATTCATTCACACACCGAAGGGTCTATAAGGTGGAGTTCAATGCTGTTAGGCACACATTTTTTGAAGAAAACCATTAAGCCTAAACTCTCTTACGGCAGTAATTCAGCTCTGCTTTATGTACAATTTATCGTGCGCCTGTTCACAATAATGGTATGTATGCTTTAAGTTCTTGTAATGACCAAGCTTTGAAGTGCACAAACTGCGTATTTCACTTCCACGTTGTGCATTTCTCTGTCTCTGCAGGAAGCTACCGCTGAAGGAAGAAAATGGAAGAGAGGTTCTCAAGCCGGATACGATTGAAATCAAAGTGCACAGTGACAACAGCATCCACACAAAGCCCGACGACAGCAAAGCGTAAAAGGGTCGGTCCTCCCGCCACCAAAAGAACATTCGGATCACAAGACCAAAACCCAGAGAAACTACAACACTGGAAAATAGTGGAGTAAAATACCATATCTGTTTATAGCAATGCCCCAGAGAAAGGCATGTGTAAATACAAAAAATAATAGAGAGAAAATAGAAAGGAAGAAAGTGTCAACCTTTTAGACACCCTGAGTGATTAATGTATCATGTTCTTACAAACATGGCATCAGTGGAAAGCTCTTGTTGATCAATGATTGTATATTATTTTCTGCCTTAAGTATTATTTCTCAGATTCTGTTTTTTTGTTTGTTTGTTTGTTTATTTGTCTGTTTTACACCCCACATGGGATTTTCATGCAGTTGAAAGGTATTTCTAGCACTCTCCTCTTTGATGTCTCTCAAAAAAGACAGTCACAAGCGGAGGCATAAGCTGGTATGCTGGTGTGCCCCAAATATCTCAATGCTAATGCTTTTTTTTGTCTTTGTAAGAGCAATGCATGGGCTGACCTTCACTGCAGGATGTCACAGTGTTTTAAGCCTGTTTCCATGCCCGAGTGTTACTCTACAACATCCTTTTTATGCCTGTGATAGCCAAGCTAGGTGCCTAGCTTACAAAGGCAAATTCTCAGTCATTGTACTTTAAGCTAGCAGGCTTCGCTAGCACACGGTAAAGAAGTCCTTAAAAGCTCTGACGCTTTATTGTCTAAAGAAAACTCTTATGTGATGCATTAGTTCTTGGTTGCATTTCTACCTGAAACAATATTAATTTTTTCCAGAAGACTTTAGGCCTAATATTTGGTTTGGTTTGATTTCAGAAGGGCTTTTGCGACTCTTTATAGGTACCCAACAGTATCCAAAAATCACAAGAAGGAAGAGTGTGTTGCAGTCTATGAAGTATACAGTACAAAAACCACACATGTGCATTGATGTCACTGTTAGCAAAGCCTTTTAAATTGACGCCGAATATTGTTGGCGCTCTTCAGGCGTCTCACTCTCTAACAATGTGCGCATAAGAATGTTTTATTCATCAGCTGCATACACCGTAATGTGTCGTATATTGTTGCCAGAGGTTAGCCGCACTGCAAGTCAATTTATGCTTTGGTATACAATGAGTAATGAAAAAATTATGTTAATGTGTTGAAAGGCGTCCCCGTGAGTGCCCTGACCAGTAATCTTTGCTATCTGTAAAAGCAGAAGTAGCAGCAAGGTACCACTCAAGGCATGGGAACAAAAGAGAAAAGGTATGCTCGAGAGGAATAAATCAACATGTACGTCATGTCTGTTTTAAATGATAAACTTTGGTTTCTTTGATTATTCTTGCCTCAGATTGGCCTCTGATGCAGTTTTTCTTTCTTTGGTCTGGTCACTATTCTCTCTGATGTTGTCACGTGTTGTACATAGGTGAAAAAAAAGAGTATTTTACAAAGCTTTTATGTAAATATACCCTAAAGGATGTGTCCTTTTTTCCAAATGCAAAAGGCTTGGCTTTTTCTTTTCTTTTTTTTGTGAACACTCCTTGGATGAAAAGCTGTTGGCTGTTTTTTTTACTTTTCTTCTTCTTTTTTTTTTCCCTTTTGTTGTGTTTTGGTCCAAAGTTCAGTGATGGTGTAATATTGTTTTTTCCTAGTCATTTGCTTTCCCTTAAGAAAAACCCATGTCCTGAGGCTATTTCACGCATTTCAATGGAGGCAGTAATTACGGCATTAGTGTGCCTTCTCTTTTTTTTTTTCTTTTCTTTTTAACCCCCCCCCCCCTCCTCCTCCTCCTTGTGGCCCAAAGTCGCTGTAGCAGTGTAGACCAACAAATGAACTTTTGCTCACAGCTTAGCTGCTTTGTGCCACAGAATGTGTCATAAGATTGAATTGTATTGTGATGCTGTGGTTTCTGGGAAACGTAGTCATAGGATTGTGGGTTCTAATCACCGACACTGGACAGGAACGGACGTGTGCAACTACCTAGTACAACTAGATGTCAGGTCGAGGCTGTTGAGTGGTTTGATGGCATCACATGAATCATTACATGACTGTGTGTGCGCACATGTATGTGTGCATACATCCATGGGTGCGTGACTACACTCGTCTACATGAATCTGGTTGCATGTATGTCCGCTGAATGTATCTGCACGTACTGTAAGTTAATCTGTTTGTATGTTTGCGAGGATGTGTTCCCATTTTTACTGTTTTTTTTTTTTTCAATTTTCCACAATAAGAGTCTCCAGATTCCAAACCTTACACTACATTAAAGAGTTAAATGCTATTCTGGCATTTATTATATTTATTTTTTAATGTTGTTACCTATTTATAATAAAGTGCAAGTACACTTTCCATCTCCATGGTGCACCATGTGGCAAGCGAAGGTGATGATGACCACATGCCAAGTGTGAATGTCAGAGTGCTCTAAGTGCACGGGGCGTTTCCTTTTTAAAACATTTTTTTAAACCGTGGTGCGAGTTGGCGAGAGCTCTCACGCTGAGTTCCGGGGTGTGCTCTGATAGTTAAAACCTGATTATGTAGCTCTCGACAGTGATTAATTCCCTAGGCTGCAGCACTCCTTCCATGTGTCTGCCAGCCCCCCTCCTGTCCTCCCCACCCGCCCCCCTCTCCGCCACTGTTCCCTGCCTCTCAGACTCCACTGGTTTTTATCTCAGACTTACGTAGTGCTGGCTTTGTTTTCTCACAGCGAGCCCTTGTACCTGCATATCTCTAAAGGATGGTCCTGCCATGGAGTGGTTCCGCTGCCTGTTACGATCACTGTAAATATGGGAGCACAGTGCCTGGGGGCTACACGATTTGTACATGTTCTTTTGTATTTGAATATGAGTCTAAACCCACCCCCCACCCCTGTCCTTCTTCTCCGGTCCCTCCTCTCCTCCCCTCTCTCGTCCTCCTTTCCTCTCTGTCTCCTCCATCATCCATCGGCCCTTTTTTCTGCAAAAGGGGGGTTAAAAAACAGGTGTGTTTGAGCTCAGTGTACAGTATGTGTCCTCTTTGTCCCCATGCTCCCCGTGTCCCTTGGACTGTCCCCGCTGAGTGTGCTTTGTGCAGGAGGTGGGAACTATTGATGTCTCTCTGTACGTACCTGTGGAACACTTGTGACTCCTATCATTGGCCGCTGTAAATAAACATGTCCTGGTAGAAGACAGCGAGACGTTGTCGTTCCTGATCTCACTTTTTTCTTTCTACCGACTTTCCATCTTACATGTGGGTGTCCAAAAAAACTTTAAAAGCAAACATTTTTATTTATACAGTAGTTTATCCCTTTAGCCCACAAAGCCACAGGTAAGTTTAGCATAATGAAAAGGTCATTTTTCAAAACTAGCACCTCCAAGGCTTAAATCAGTGAAAAAATTAAATTACACTATTTCCTAGACAAGTGCTGTGGTTCCCTACCTTGACATTTTGCTGTGACAAGACTCCAGAAAAGGATGTAACATCTTTGTGACATAACACGAATTTAAAAGAAAAGTTGTAGGCCAGCCTTTGTGAAACTCATTTTAAACCAGTTTCAAATGTTAACATTATGATACGTTAGCATATACACTCACTGGTCACTGTATTAGATACACCTGTTCAACTGCTTGTTAATACAAATATCTAATCAGCCAATCACATGGCAGCAGATCGGTGCATTTAGGCATGTAAACAAGGTACAGATGATCTGCTGAAGTTAAAACAAAGCATCAGAATGGGAAAGAAAGGTGATTTAAGTGACTTTAATCTTGGCACAGTTGTTTTTGCCAGACAGCTGTGAGTGTTTCTGAGTGTCTCAAAAAATGCTGAGCCACTGGCGCAACCATGTCTAGTGTTTACAAAGAAGGCTTTGATAATGAAATTACCCAGTAAGCAGCAGTTCTCTCCTGACAAAGATGTCTTGTTAATGTTCACACTGGCTCATCATAACTCAACAAAAGAAGATTGGAAAACGTTGCCTCATCTGGTGAGTCTCAGTTTCTGCTGTTACATTTGGTCTGGTGAGCATTTGGCATAAACAACATGAAAGCATGAATCCATCCTGCCTTGTATCAGTAGTTGAGGTTGTTGGTGGTGGTGTAACAGTGTGTGGTATATTTTTTGAATACTTTACCGTGTTTGTACCAACTGGTCATTGTTTAAATGCCAAAGACTGAGTGTTGTTGCTGACAATGTCCATCCCTTTATGACCATAGTGTACCCATCTTCTGATGGCGGCTTCCAGCAGGATACCAGACCATGTCAACAAGCTCAGATCATTTCAGACTGGTTTTATGAACATGACATTGAAGTCACTGCACTCTTTGAGACGTGGTCCACCATAGTTCAGCTGGCTTTCTGCTCTGAGCTGGTAGATAGAGAGGGGGACCTACTTGCAATTTTTATGGTACAATTTTTGACTGTATTAAATTAAAAAGTGATTTATCTCGATATTCCAAACCCTTTGTGTGAATTAGACCTGAGTCCAAGCAGTAAAGAAAGCCTGCAAAAATTAAAAAAGAAAATGTAATGAACAATGAAAAACATAAACCCATCATTAGTTGAAGCATTAATCTAAATTTGGTTGTAAATCTCGGTTGCAGTTTCTCACATTTTTAGCTTGCACAGGTTCTTAATGAGGTAATGTAACACTGACCACCATGCAGTCAAAGGACACAGATACTGGGCGAACCTTTCTTTATAATCCTCTCCAGCGTAATGGGTTACACTTTAGTCTGGTCCAGTTGTGATAAAAGCAGACTGCTCCACAAAGACACAACTTTAATAGCTTTTAATTTTTTCCCTGCGTTCTAGTTGACGGAGCTCTTTTTTTTCAGTTTTTTCCTTTTTTTCAGAGAACGGAGTGCTATTCTCATCAAGGTCATTCCTAATCCTTCATTACACCCGCTTTAAAGGCAGCAACTGTGTTGCATCCAAATCTGGCCTCTCTTCCACGAAACAGAAGAAGTGCTTTAATGATAAAAACCAGAGCGACTGAGGAGCTTTGCTCAAAGGAGGAATTAAAACAATTCTGAATAGCACGGAGGAGCCACAGTGTTCCTTAACAAAGCTGCCCCCTCTTCAGCGCTCATTTGAAGTCAGCAGATAACGTTTCTCAGACGTCTCCCTCCTACAAGAGGGAGGGAGGGAAGCAGCGGGCTGCCTGTTGGATCCTGGCTGCAAGGGTCTCTGTTAACAAGGGGAACAAACTTCAACTTCATCTCCCACAGGGGCTCAAAGGAAGTCTGCACATCAAACACTGAGCCTCATTTGGATGAGGAGATGCAGAGAGGAGCGATATTGGCCCCTCTCGGGGGGGTGCAGTGGAGGAGGGTGGGAACGAGCTGAACAATCACAAGAGAAGAAAAGACACTTTCCTTCCTTTCGTCACATGGTGGACTGGCTGGCAGTCTTCTGCGGGTTCTTTTTAGTTTTGCTAGACAGGAAGTTTGGCAAACAACAGAAGGGATGGACCACTCACAAACACACACATAAGCACACTGTGTTTAAAGGACATTCAACACAGCAGGGAAGTCAGGCAAAATGTGAAAAGATAGCAGAGTAAGCCCTCAGGTAATATTTCTCCCTCTAATCTTTCCGTTTGCAGAGAGTCCCACGACACTGTGCGCAGACAGCACCTTAATCCCAACTATGAGAGAAGTTAGAGAAGTGGAAGAAATCTCCATGCCATTGTTCAAGTTTTCTCTCTCAGACACTCACAAGCACACATGCACTTAAACGCCTCCTCTCACATGCTTGCACAGAGAATTCCATCATGAGGCGTGCTCACAGGTCATTTTTGAAACTTCCCCAAATTCTTAGCCGCATGGGCAAATCCAGCAGAGAGATTCTTGGCAGGTACAACCCTCCGCTTCCTTAATCTGCTTTATTTCAGACTCTCCCCGCAGAGGTCCATCTCTCCTAATTTGTCAGGAGAGGAGATGGGAAGAGAACGGTAGGTCTGTGAGTATACTGGAGGTGTACTAATTGTCATTCAAGAGTTAGGATACAATAAATCTGCAACGGCACTTTCCTCAAAGAGAAAAAGTAAAACACGAGAGTTTGAAAGTTGAAACTTTGTAGAACTTGCGACTAGGTGGAGCGGTGATATAAGGTTTCCTTAAGGAGGGATCATGAGATTTCGTCCACTGTTTGGCATCTTTCTAAGCCAGATGTTTACCCTCAGTCAGGTGACGTTTTCTTTCATGTTTACTTTGATAGAATGGAAAAGCCCAAAATTAACTTTTGAACATGAATTTAGCGGCAAACAACACTGTTATTTAAAGATATAGTGGTTTCCTCAGGAGAATCACAGTCCCTCTCTTTAAAACTCTTCATCCTACTTTTAGTCTATTGAGAGCCAAGACTAAAAACATGTAACTAAAAGTAAGCAGAAGTATGGAATATTAAGTATATTTATTAGTGCCGCCAGCGTTAATCTTGTTAAAATGACGTTAATGCCATAACCGCATAACGAGACTAACGAGACTAATATTTATGTTGTATACCTGTTTGTTCGTTTAATTGAGTATGTGCGGTTGTTGTTTCACTTTGCTCCTGTGCTTTCTGTTTGGCTCCTCTGCTGTGTTGACCAGACAGATGACGAAACAGAGCACAAGAGTGCTGCAAAAACAAAAGTCGTGACTGGGCTCAACATCAGTTATCTCTGCAGTTGTCTTGCATAGCAAGGCAAACACAGAGCAGTGATTGTGTCTCGACTGGTATATTTATAGATTTTGTAAGGAGGAGGTGTGGTTCACAGACCCATTTCACTTTAAAATAATTGTGCACCAGTGGTTCCAAATTTACTATTCACTAGCCAACTAATGCATTTAAACCAAACATGGGATAATCCTCTCACATGCATTTTATTTGTATTATTTTATTTTTTATGTCAGTGAACCTAAATTTGCAACTAAAGCATTTGAATAAAAATATATATTTAATGTCAGATGCATAAAGTTTTTGTTGATCACCAAAATGAGACGGTGTTGAGGAAAACAAAGAACACTGAAAAATCATGTTCGGCAACACAAATCAATAGATTAAAGGTCATAACTATGGATCCTGTGGGTCTTGTGGGTTGTTAACCCTAATGCAATAAGCAGGACGATATTCTTTAGCCTTTATTTACTATAAATTTAGAGAAATGCTTATTCTATTAGAATAATGAAGTCATTACATCAGACTGGGACTGATGTTTACTCACTCGAACCATAATGTAAATTGACTGCAATGATATATGTTTATCTCTTGTCCAATTCTTATTTATCCCTCATATTTATTTACATATCTGTAAGTTAACATTCTTATGACTGTTTTTTTTATCTTATATTTATTCTAGTTGCACACATTAGGATCATGTGTATGTAACGTACATAGTGCAGTATTAACAATAAAATTCATTGTTCTTGTTTGAAAGAATTGACTTCCCTCTTCCACTTAAAATCCTGAGCAGAAGAGAAATTATCTCTATTACAGAAAAAAAGCTTTCTGTACAAACTGGCATTGGTGCAAAAAAAAAAAAACCCCAATAAATACATTTAGCCATGATTTTTTACAGAATATAACTTGAAGATGAATATTGTTTTGACAGTTCGTAGGTTTAGAAACTGACTGGTAGCTGGAGCACGTGGTAAAAGCGTACCATGAAGGATGGATACAAATATTTAATGCTGGGAGCAAAGCAAGCACCTTGAGAATTGCATGGAGGATTGAAAAGGTGAGAAAACTTGGAGGCACGCCATGTTTTGGTGCAAAGAAGATGTGTTTGACTTTTCAGCAGATTCGTGTATCTGGGACTGAGGTTTCTCTGTAATTCCTTCATAAGCACTTCTACCAGTCATTTCAGCAAAGAAGCTTCACTTAGCATTTCTATGGAAGCCATTACATGCCTATACCGTCATTGACTTGAAGAGGGGGGAACAGAGATGAATATGCCATAACACGACTGCTTGCATTCACACCTGTCAGACTCAATATAACCTTATTAAATGGCGCAAAGGGGAGCAGGTAGGCAGTGAATTCTCAGCGCTTTCAAGAACTCGCTGATTTATGCTTTATAAATTCAAGATGAGGTCACATCACCTGCTGAAGCTTTTAAAATCGGCTTTCAGGGTGGAAACAGTGCACTCAAAATAAGATGGAGTGGAATTGGGAACATAAATTGCAGTGGGAGAA